TGGTTGCTTGTCTCTTCATGATGCCAGCAGCTACAGATCTGTTAATTTATAAGAGATTGCAAAATAGTGATAATGAACTTATAGCATTCCTTCTTCACCTATTAGTTGGAAAACTCCTACAAAGGGAAACTTTTCTTCATCCACTATTTAGTTTATCCAGTGGTATAGTTTATAGAAGAAGGCAAGATAAATGCCTAATTTTTTTCTTTATTTACTAGTTTTCATAATAATGAGTTGGTTTCCCAGCATCCTCCTACAGTGACCTAGTTATTTTTTTAGTACAATTATGAACTTGTAGATTTAAATGTATGAAGATATAATTTTTAAATATAACATTTGCAGTAGTTTTTATATATTTATTGTTAGATAGGAGAGATATACATCCTGTCAATAAGTCTACAAAAGGATATATAAGACTTCCATGAATTATAAAATTTTATTAACGTAAACCTGAATAATGTTCTATATAATATTGTATGTGATGTTCATAGATAGGAAGACTCCGTATCATAAAGGTAACAATTCTCCTAAATTAATCTATAAATTCAATTCCAATATTTAAAATCTCCAACAGAATTTTTGCTGAAACATGATTAGCTGATCTTAAAATTCATATAGAAGGGCCAAAAACAGTTGCTATGGTCTAAATGTTTGTGTCCCCCCCCCCAAATTCATATGTTGAAACTGAATCACCAATGTAACAGTATTAGGAGGTGGGGACTTTGGGAGGTGATTAGGTCATGAGAGCAGAGTCCTCACGAAGGGGATTAGTGCCTTTATAACAGAAGCTTTAGAGCTGCCTTGATACTTCCACCGTGTGAGAATACAGCAAGAAAACAGCAAATCCAACAACCCAACACTTTTATCTCCAGATATACCTTACAGAAGGTATTTTATGTATGAACAGTGACTCACTTGAAAAGGTTCATTGAAGCATTGTATGTAATCATAAAAAAATTGGAAATATCAAAATTGCCATCAAAAGTAAAATGGATAAAAAAAAACTGTCATATGTTTATACAGTGGAATATTGTATGGCAGTTTAAAATAAATGAAAACTACACGTATTAACCTGGATTGAACGTAAAAACATAATGTTAAGCAAAATATAGCAAGTTGTAAAAGTTATATAAAAGATACTATTTATATAAAATTTTAACATGTAAAATAATACTATATGTTGTTTATAGGTACACTTATATGTGGTAAAGATATAAAAATATGTATGAGGACTGATAAATACCAAATTTGAGAGACTAGTTACCTCTGGGAAGAGAGTAAGGGAAATGGGGTTGTGTGTGTCTTAATCCATTTTGTGCTGCTATAACAGAATACCTGAGACTGGTTAATTTCTAAAGAATAGAAATTTTTCTTACAGTTCTGGAGACTGGGACATCCAAGATCAAATTACCACTTTCTTACTGTGTCCCTTAATGGCAGAAGACAGAAAGGCCAGAGAGAGTGAAACCATTCCCACAAGCCCTTTTCTTTTCTTAGCAGGGGTGGGGAGTGGGAATACTGGGAGGGGAGAGGGGGTGAGAAGATATCAACTCCTGGGCTCAAGTGATCCTCCTACCTCAGCCTCCCAAGTAGCTGGGACTACAGGCACCTGCCACCCCTGCCACTGCTCCTGGGCCACAAGCAGCATTAACCCATTCATGAGGGTGGAGCCTCAGGACCTAAACACTTTCCATTAGGTCCCACTTTCCAACACTTTTGCATTGCATATTGTTTCCAACACAGGAATTATGAAGGAGACAAAAACACTCAAACTATAATAGTATGTGATATGAAGAAATCTTGGACTACAACTTAAATGTTTTCTTTCTCTATAAAAAATGTGAATCAAATATGGCAAAACATTAACATTTCACAAAACTAAGTGGCAATCTATGAGTAATGATCGTGGGGTATTTTTTCTATACTATAAATCCTTAAGATATTTTATAGATTATTTTTAAAGCAATTAAACGTACGTTATTCAAAATACTGACTTAGTTTGTTCCAATGCATCCTAAGTACCAGGTTATTTTACTAGGAGAAAAAAAAAAAAATCACCCATCCTCTACATCCCAAAACTTGAAAGGGTTTCAATTCTAATCAAAGTGGTGAAATTGCATCAATGTAGAACCTCAGCTTTTGGTCAATACAAACGCGCCCTCTGCTGGTCCTATCGTGCCCTGTCTCAAAGCTCTAAAACAGTTGTGAAGAGCAATGAAGGTCTTCAATGAGGCAGTTTTTTCTGAGCCAGCTGTGTCAATTAAAGAAAAACCCTCACAGCCCTCCCTCTGTCAGGAAAATACTTCAGTCGGTTCCCGCTCTCTGTTAATAATGCAGAATATCCAAAACAAAAGAAATTCTGAGGTATAGCCTCAATCAACCTTTCCAGTTTCCTCAACCACGCTGTGCATCATCAATCTTGTCCCGCCTCCAAAGTCTGGAGGTTGACGTGTGAGACAGCGGACACAACCCTGAATCTTTGGGAGTGGCGGAACGGAAACCCAAGTTGCAAAGAGGCTTGTGGGGTGGGGGAGAACATTGAAAAAATGGGATTAACTGTAGTAACTGTAGTATTAAGGAAATGATGCTGGTGGGACGACGGGTGAACTTTTCCTTTCAAATCTTTTTTTTTTTTTTTTTTTTTTGAGACAGAGTCTCATTTTGTTGCCCAGGCTAGAGTGCCGTGGCATCGGCCTAGCTCACAGAAACCTCAAACTCCTGAGCACAAGCGATCTTCCTGCCTCAGCCTCCCGAGTAGCTGGGACTACAGGCATGTGCCACTATGCCCAGCTAATTTTTTCTATATATATTTTTTAGTTGGTCAATTAATTTCTTTCTATTTTTAGTAGAGACGGGGTCTTGGTCAGGCTGGTTTTGAACTCCCGACCTAGAGCAATCCGCCCACCTTGGCCTCCCAGAGTGCTAGGATTACAGTCGTGAGCCACCGCACCTGGCCCATTTTCTAGAATTTTATATAAATGGAATCACACCATATGTACTTTTTTGTCTGATTTCTTTCACTCAACGTAATTATTTTTAGATTCATCCATGCTGTTAAGTATATCAATTGTTCGTTCCTTTTTGCTGCTGAGTAATATTCCACTGCATATACTATATACACCAGTTTGTTTATTCACCTGTTGATGGACATTTGGGCTGTTTCATTTTTTTTTTTTTTTTTGAGACAGAGTCTCACTTTGTTGCCAGGCTAGAGTGAGTGCCGTGGCGTCAGCCTAGCTCACAGCAACCTCAACTCCTGGGCTCGAGTGATCCTTCTGCCTCAGCCTCCGGGTAGCTGGGACTACAGGCATGCGCCACCATGCCCGGCTAATTTTTTATATATATATCAGTTGGCCAATTAATTTCTTTCTATTTATAGTAGAGACGGGGTCTCGCTCTTGCTCAGGCTGGTTTTGAACTCCTGGCCTTGAGCAATCCGCCCGCCTCGGCCTCCCAAGAGCTAGGATTACAGGCGTGAGCCACAGCGCCCGGCCTGGGCTGTTTCATTTTTGAATATTACAAATAAATCTGCAATGAACATTCTGTACAGGTCTTTGTATGAATAAACATATGAACATTTCTTTTGGGTACAATACCTAGGAGAATAGTCAGATAATATGATAGGTATATATTTAGCTTTTTAAGAAACTGCCAAACTGTTTTCTCAGTAGTTGTACCATTTTACATTCTAACCAGCAGTTGATGAGAGTTTTAGTTCCTCCATGTCCTTGTCAACTCTCAGAATAGTCAGTCTTTTTTGTCATTCTAATAAGTTATATGTTAATTGTGAGGGGGTTTTCTTCTTTATGCTTTTTTTTGTATTTTCTAAATTTTCTGCAATGAAATATATCTTCCATAATCAAAAGGTTGTTTAAAGTAACTAAAATAAGAGGTAAACTAGACCAATACGAAGTCTAAGTCTAGAGAGTCTTCTCATTCTAGAAGTGTGACCCAATATGCTACAGAGCACCCACCAAAGAATGCTAGCTGTGTGGCCTGTGTAAGCCTTCTTCATAGGATAACATTTTAGTTTTAGTTTTAGTTTTTATATTTTTGAGACAAAGTCTCAGTCTGTCACCCTGGGGTAGAGTGCCATGGCGTCAGCCTAGCTCACAGCAACCTCAAACTCCTGGGTTTAAGCAATCCTGCTGCCCCAGCCTCCCGAGTAGCTGGGACTACAGGTGCATGCCACCATGCCTAGCTAATTTTTAATAGAGATGAGGTCTCACTCTTGCTCAGGCTGCTCTTGAACTCCTGACCTCAAGAGATCCTCCCACCTTGGCCTCCCAGAGTAATAGGATTACAGGCGTCAGCCACCACCCTAACATTTGTTTTTGTTTTTAAATCAATTTGCTTTTCAATGCTATAACCACCCTAGGGTTTTAAGAAAAAATGTAAACACACATAAACCTCCCAATCTAACATATTTCCTTTTTCTGTTTTCTCTTCCAGTTCTGATCTATTATATTTTAAAGAGTTCTAACACACTCTATAGTTTACATTTGTACTTGTCATGATATCATAAATATTTTCCATATTGCTTATTTATCTTTTTAACTATAATTTAAAATGTCAAATGAATGCATCATAAATTACTTCCCCAGTCTCCCTTGTTGAGCTGTTTCTAATTCTTCATTATTAATAATAATGCTGTAATAAGTAAGTTGGCACAAAAAGCTTATTTCTTCTTTTGAATTCTTTCCTTATGATAAATACCCAGGAATGAGATTCCTGATCAAAGCCTAGAACATTTTTCTGATTACTGATACATAGTGTCATATCATTTTCCCAAAGGATATTTTAATAATAATTTTAATGTTACTTGCCATGTGCCAGCACTGGTTTTTACAGCCTTTGCTAATTTTCTGGGCATAATAAACCCCATTGTTCTAATCTGCATGCCTTTGACTACTCATCAGGTAGACATTTTTCCATGTCTGATCTCCTCCTGGGATAATTACTTGTGGTCCTTACTGACTGAGGATACCTTGTTTTCGCAGACCCAGAGCCAAGAAGTACGAGTCTTGACTCCCCCAGTGCTTCCCTGGCTGAGCACATCCAGACCACGGAGGCAGATACCGTGCAAAAGGTGTAAGTGTTCAAAGTTGTAATGACATGGACTTCTCTGCTTTTATTTTGTTTTCCTTTATTTTTAATTAATTAATCTAGTATTTTGTTTTTTTCTGAGAGGCATCCTCAGCTGACAGCATGCTCTGACAGCCAAACTTAAACAGTTGTCTAAGAAACAAAGATTCTTGGGGAGGATTATATTGTGATGTTTCCTACTTAAACCATGTTCTTTGGCTGGGTAGGTTAAGAGTGAAGTTAACTTTAACAATGTGGAAACAGCTTTTTCCATTTGTCCTTATTATCTGAGATCTACAGAGATGGCAAGAAAGCTGAGGTGTATCATTTAAACCTTGGTTTCTCATCTCAGCATTCACTCAGCTCTGCATAAAATAATACTAATACAAATGATAATTGCTAACCTGTATTGAGTGCTTCCTCTATACTGAGCTCACTAACCAGCAGATCAGCCCAGTGATTTGACCTAAGCCCCCTTTGGCAGTAGCAGGTGGTGTGACCTCTCTGCCTCTACCTAGTCTATTGTGAACTCCCATGAGCCTTGGTGACTTGAGAACCTGCCCTCACCTGCAAGTGATGTAAGGATTTCCTCCTGGGTCAAAAAGATTTTGTGTTCCCCAGGAATAAAGGGAGAAGGGCACTTGGATACATGAAACAGCCATCAAAGGAATTTTATTTTTAAATTTTTATGCCTAATCTTTCCCACAATATATTTAAATTGCTTACAACCACCACCTCCCACCAAAAAAGATAAAATAATCAAAAAGAAAAAATTTTTTTAAGCAGGAGGACAAAAAGCCCACATATACTCCACAAAAGTCATTATAGTCACTGTGACTAAATTTCAAACCTGACAAAGAGATTCCTGAAACAAACAAACAAAACAAAATGATTAGGTTTGTGGTTCCCATTTGCAGCATACCTGTTCCTCAGGGAAAATAAAGGTTTTCTTAGCACTAAATTCTAAATGAGACTTCCCCTATGGGTTTTTATAACGTGACATTGAATAATTTAAAGACTCATATATTTACAGGAAATTCCATTTACCTCATTCAACAAATATTTCTCAAGTTTCTACAGTAAGGCCCTATGCTAGCATAGCACAGTAAATAGAATACTCATTTAGCTAAAGAAATTACATGCCCAGAACCAGGCCTGGTACACAGCAGGCACACAGTAGTTGCTGCTATTGCTGCTGTTACTGAAATCCATGTGGCTGAGTTTTAGGGGCCTTTTTACCCAGAAGGCCTAAGTCAGTTATCCACAGAGGACACATTCAGTGGCAGCAGTTCTACAGTGGATAAAACACAGCACATGACCTTTTAGTGGCTGAACTTGATCAAGAGTAGAACTCAGAAGACATAAAGGAATGGATGGATAGATGCATATTCCTAAGACAATCTTCTTAAGGGTCACTTTTTTTTTTTTTTTTTTTTTTTTGAGACAGTCTTGCTTTCTTGCCCAGGCTAGAGTGAGTGCCGTGGCGTCAGCTTAGCTCACAGCAACCTCAATCTCCTGGGCTCAAGCAATCCTGCTGCCTCAGCCTCCCGGGTAACTGGGACTACAGGCATGTGCCACCATGCCCAGCTAATTTTTTTTTCTTTTTCTATATATATTAGTTAGCCAATTAATTTCTTTCTATTTATAGTAGAGACAGGATCTCGCTCTTGCTCAGGCTGGTTTCGAACTCCTGATCTTGAGCAATCCGCCTGCCTCGGAGTGCTAGGATTACAGGCGTGAGCCACCGCGCCCGGCCAAGCGTCACTTTCTTTTTCCGGCTAAGCCTGTGATGGAAGAAATCTCAGTGAAATAATTCTGTGCCATTCAATTAAAGGCATAAATACACAACCCCAGAGGCAAACTATTTCTCTCACTGTCTAAGTTTTAGGATTTACCCTGCGGAAACCTCAAAAGTGAAGCACAATTTTTCTAATATCCCGTATCCAGGGATGTGTTGAGGGAAAGAGAATTGACTAAGTATGTCAAATACCCAGCACAGTGCCTGCAGAGGGCAGGTGCTCAGTCAGGATTTGTCCCCTTGCCCTCTTCCTTTCCACCAGAGTTTTTTTCTTTAGTTTGGTCTTTTGGCTTGCTCTTTTCAAAGGGGCAGAGATTGTGATGTACATCACCTGCATAGAGGACTTCCAGGACATGGGCCCGAGTCACCAGAGAGGTTAGATGCTGGGGATACATCTCTTCTTCCAAGAGAAAGAGAAGGGAAGGCTAACCCAAGACTGTTCAGCCAGCAGAAATCAGCCAGCATCAGTCATGTGAGTGTAAACCTCCAACAGCTTGGTCCCAGAGCCCTGCTTGGATCTCATCCAGGACACCACAAACAGTTGTGTAGATTGCTCACTGTGCAAGGGCACCTAACAAAGGGCGTAAGAGGGAACTGGAGTCTAGCCTACGGTCTGCTCCCAAGCCCTGCGCCTCAGCATTGGGCAGCATCTTATCTTCCTGAGTGATGGGTTGGCCATTTCTAATTCCTACAAAGGTACTGAGGGGGTAGCCATGGCCCCACTCTGCCGTCCCCTCTTAGGAGGAATCTCCACGTTGTCTCGCCCTGTAGGGAAACGTGAAGACTGACATGGCTGTGGTCACCTGCCTGAGGTTTCCTGAAAGTTAGCAAATAATGCAGCAGTGAATAAAGCTGGCTTTGATTTTTAAATAGTTAACCATTAATCATGGCAATACCAATTTATCAAAGGCGAAAACTGCTTCACTTTGATCCAGTTCTACGGACCATGATTTAGCATCTAAGAAAGGAGGCAGACCATTAAGAGTGTTTACTTCCTCTTTTATCCTATGAAATTATTCCCAGCCGTTTTAAATCAAAGGCTGACCCTTCGAATCTCCCCACCCACTCCACATTATCTAACACGCACTCTTCTGCTTCATTTGGAACCCACGCAAATTCCATTCCAAGCCAGTCTGTCACCTTGTTCAACATAACCTTCCTCTGTGGTTTTTTCTGTGTCCTACATGTATGTATCCTGGTCCCTTTCCTTCTCACCTTTAGGAGAAGGAGTTGATTAACAAAGCCAAGGGAAAGAAAAGAACCAAGACAGATAAGACCAAAGCACCCAAAAGGGAGCGAGAGAAACAGGTCTTCAGGGAAGCAGAGGCTGCTTTCGGTAAGAGAGTGTACCTGCAAGGAACAACCCAGAAGACTCCTCGTGGGAGTGGGAAGTGGGTAGGGAGAGTCAGCATAGATCCTATAAGACAAACTGTTTTGAGTCTCCTTGACTACCACGGCTAAGATAGTATTGCAGCCTTACTTCATGCCAATATCTTAATAGACAGGGCTAAGGACTGGGAAGCCTAGAGACCTGTGATCACCAAGAGAGGAAACGGTAATAATAATAACAGCATCTGTTTACTGAATACCTACTGTATTAGGAGCTCTACATATATGACCTCATGAAATATTCACACCGCCATCAAGTATTGTTATATTCATGTAGCAGTTGAAGCTGAGAGAGGCTGGGAGACTTAGTGCATAAGATCACACAGATCAGCTAGTAAAGTGGTGGACCCCGGGATTGTCCTTTCCTATTTGACTCCCAGTGCATGCTATTACCACTGCCTCTGTGAACCAATAACTCTATCATGACCAGAGTACTGGGCAGTGAGAGTGTTTGGGAAGGAGAAGGATGCCACAAGCTCTGAATGATCCTCCCAGCTACCAATTCCCTTCTAAGTGCCCTATATTGAACCTTACTAGGAACTCAGATTCCTATGCTGCTGAAGACTTTCTTTAGCCTAAAACTCTCAGCCATCCTTTACTGCCCACATGATTCAGAAGACCCTCTAAATAAATCAAGTGCTGTCAGAAAGGACATTGATGCACTCCAGGGCTAGATCTATTTTCAAGGTTTGCTTTTTGAACTCTTGCTGAGTTTACATTTTTGTAGGCCATGACTTGGGTAGCATTGGCAGGACTGGGAAAAGGAAGTACTTGTGGCCCCAAAGGTGACTTGAGAGAGAGAGTCCTTAGAGAATGGAAGGACTAAACTTTGCCAGGTTACAAAGCTGCAACACTAAGCAAGACTCCCAGGGCAGGACTTTCCAGCTGTTGTCTGCAACTCTCCCCTCTGGAGAGTCTTGCCCCTGCCCTAGGTCAAAGTGAAACAGAACTTGTTTAAGAGCAAGATTGCTGAATGTCAGTTGATCCAAACAGGATAAGGCAGTTTCTCAAAGGTGGTCTGTGGACTACTCTTCTCAAAACACTTGGGGTATTTGTTACAATAAAGATTTCTGCTGAACCAGATTTTAGGGGTGGGGCTCAGGAATCTACATCCCCAGGTGATTCCACTGCATGCTAATGTTTAAAAGTTACTAAAAAGGATGTATAGAGAACACATTTACTTAACTCAGCTATACCTCTGTCCCCAATTGTTCCCCCCCAGGAAAGTCAAAGGACTCAAAGGCTAAAAAAAAATTAGGAAAAAAAACAGGAGGCAAAAGGAAAAGGAATCTGGAGACTGCAGCAGAGCTGAGTGGGCCTGATGTCATTAACTCTAAGGAAACATTAGACACCTCAGATACAGGTTTCTCCCCTTCAGAGTCTATTGTAGAAGACCCTTGGCTTTCTCCCAGATATGATGCTCAGGAGAGCCAAGTTGCTATAGATGGAAGATCATCACCTTCCCAGACTGTAACTGTCACTGGCAACATGGAATCTGAAGAAGAGAGAAGCTGTGACAACCCTTCCAAGGTAGGATCTGATATTCTCTCTTGGCCAGAGGAAGTTCTGTCCTCCCTTGGTGCAAATGCAGAGGTGGGAAAAACTGCCCTCATTATGGTGCAGTTGCTGAAACAGCTCTACTACATAATAGTCTTCTCGTCCTACTTTGGAACCTTCTGACCCCAGAAAGAAGCCAGATAGACCTGACCAAAGATGCAGAGTGGCAAAGCCCCTCTGAAGTGATGCATTATTCTGTGAGGCAGCCACTCTGCCAGGGCATGTACCCCCCCACACACAGGGCACAGGAAGTGGACACATCACCCATCTGTGAGAGGGACAGGCCTCCTTGTTATAGGGAAAGGTAGATACTGGCCATCAGAGCCAAGCACACATCCTTGACTTAGGCTGGAAAGCATCTATTGCTTGCCTCCCAAAGGTTGTGGAAATTCCTTTTCTCCTAATCTGCATTTCTGTAGCACACAGCTGGGACAGAGGCAGTTTGTACACACATATCTGCTTTTACAAGGTGCTTTTTACTGTTAAAGTCACTTTGTTCCAGGGGCTGTGATTCTAATGTGGAAGTTTGAAGAGAAAAACTGAGTATAAAGAAAATTACCCTTGAAAATCCCTGCAATTAACCAAAAAAGAATGCCATACATATACATCATCTCTCAGTAAGACCAACACAGCCCGTTTTTCCTCTGCTGGAATAGATCACTATTTCTTCCACTGAAGTGAATGTACTGAACTGCATTTAGAGGTCTTGTACAAAAAAAAAAATTAGCTTTAAACACTACAAATGTGCACACAGTTAAGCCACTATGGTTTAACCCAAATAATGTGTATGGTATACTCTGCTGAATCTCATTTAATCTCTACAACCACACTTGCGAGCCAGCTATGATTAGCCCCATTTTACAGACCTAGAAACTGAAGCTAGAAGGAGTTAAATGCCAGTTGCCAGAAATTGCACAACCATCGAGTGGTAGAGCCAAGACTTAAAATCAGGCCCTTTGGGCGACTTCCGGGGCCCTTGCTCTTGGGGCCCCAGAACCTCGTCCACGAGTGTATAATAAAGCCACGTGGTTTGGCCCCCCACAAAAATAAATAAATAAATAAATAAATAAATAAATAAATAAATAAATAAAATCAGGCCCTTTGACTCCAAATTCAGGACTCTCATCATTATTTTAAATTATTATGTATTTATTTATTTTATAGCCCATAGTCTTCCAAAAAGGATTCAAGGAAGATCTTTCCTTTATAGTTCTCAGTCCCCCTCAACTGCCTAGATTATGGAATTCTGCTCTGTACAACACATGAAAATTTTAACGTGCAAGAAGAACTTTTCTAAGCCTGCTAGATCATCAGCATTTCTTGAGATTTATTGTCAATCCATAGTACTGTGCTACCTGCAAAGGCTAAAGAGCCAAGGATGTTTGACTCAGAATTGGATACACAGAGTTCCCTGGAAGAGTTGTCTCCCAGGGTTCCTTTCATGGGCATATTTCTGACTAAGGAGGAGACATTAGAGAGATAAAGAGAGCTAAGACAGCCTTCATGTAAACTGAAAGAACAACCTTCCATTGGAAAGGTGGTTTAAATGGGATTAAATGCGAGTCTGACCCATCTATACCTAAGAGTGCCCCTGATAAAACAGCCTCTTATCTAGAACCTGTAGTTTCCAGCCCTGGCTTCATGTTATAACCACCCAAGAAACTTTTTTTTTTTTGAGACAGAGTCTCACTCTGTTGCCCGCGCTAGAGTGCCGTAGCATCAGCCTCACTCACAGCAACCTCAAACTCCTGGGCTCAAGCAGTCCTTCTGCCTCAGCCTCCCAAGTAACTGGGACTATAGTCATGCGCCACCATCCCCCGCTAATTTTTTCTATATATTTTTAGTTGGTCAATTAATTTCTTTCTATTTGTAGTAGAGATGGGGTCTCGCTCTTGCTCAGGCTGGTTTTGAACTCCTGACCTTGAGCAATCCTCCTGTCTCGACCTCCCAGAGTGCTAGGATTACAGGTGTGAGCCACTGAGCCCGGCCCCAAGAAACTTTTTTAAACCACTGAGGCCTCCCACATAGAGATTTTCATTTAATTGGTCTGGGTGGAGTCCTGGCTTCAAGTAGTTTTTGAAAGCTCCTCAGGTGAGTCTAAAGTGCAGCTACCGTTAAGAATTCTAGAACCTTCCATGTACTGGACACTATGTTGGCACTTTCATTATTTCAGTTAATACTGGTAACAGCATCATGAGTAGGGAAAAGTCATGATCCCCAAATCCCAAAGCAAGTAAGAGTTAAATCCAAGTCAATCAGACCCCAGACCCCAAGCTGGTGACATGGCAGAGTCTATGCAGCTATGGTAAGAGTCTAGAGTTGACTTTATGATTCTATCTTTTTTTTGAGTCTCACTTTGTTGCCCAGGCTAGAGTGAGTGCCGTGGCGTCAGCCTAGCTCACAGCAACCTCAAACTCCTGGGCTCAAGCAATCCTGCTGCCTCAGCCTCCCGAGTAGCTGGGACTACAGGCATGCACCACCATGCCTGGCTAATTTTTTCTATATATATTAGTTGGCCAATTAATTTCTTTGTATTTTTAGTAGAGATGGGGTCTCGCTCCTGCTCAGGCTGGTTTTGAACTCCTGACCTCGAGCAATCCACCCACCTCGGCCTCTCAGAGTGCTATCAAAATCCATTTTAGAGGAATTGAAAATGAAGCTCTTGAGAACTTAAGGGCCCTACCTCAGAGCACAGAGCTGTGTCCTGAAACTTCTAGATAGTTGCAGGCCCACTATGCTCTTGCCTCTGCTCTTCAATCCTGGGTTCCCTTGGGAAACCAAGATTCCTCACAATGGGGTGAGGCACTGCCTGTTGGCTGCCATTTCCCTGACCATCTTGCGTTTTCTCAGCTTGAGGAAACAGAGACTTGAAGAAGAACAGCAGCAGCAGGAGGAGGAGGAGAGAAAGCAGCAACTCCAGTTGAAAGCAGCCCAGGAGAGAGTCCGGCAGCAGCAAGAGGCATTTCGGAGGAAACTGCAAGAACTACAGAGGAAGAAGCAGCAGGAAGCAGCTGAGAAGGCCGGTGAGGGGGATTGTTGAGCTTTTTGTACTTCCCATCTATTTGGAGCAGAAATACTTTTATCCTACTGTTAGTGTTCATTTATTCTTATCCTAGGCCTTAGTCTGCAAAGCACCCTATTTTTATTCCAAAGTGATTATGTGTGACTATAGGTTAGATTTTTATTCCAAAGTGATTATGTGTGACTATAGGTTAGATAGATTTTTATTCCAAAGTGATTTTGTGTGACATAGGTTAGAATAAGAAAATAGAAGACTTATTTGTGGACATAACTCCACAGCCCTGCTCTCAATTCAACAATCTCATAAGCTGGAATCCTGCCCCTTTCTTTGCTCTTTTAGCATTGCTCAGGACCTATCTCAACTGGAGACAAAGCCCTACCCCTTGTGTCCTTCCCTAGCAGATAGAAACAGTTACAAACATCTGGATAGTTTCAGGGAAAACTTTCAGGTGTTGGTATGTAGAATCTCTCCAGCCTCACTTTTTTCTTTCTTTTTTTTTTTTTAAGACAGGGTCTCACTCACTCTGTTGTCCTGGCTAACATGCAGTGGCATCATCATAGCTCACTGCAACCTCAAAATCCTGGGCTCAAGCAATCCTCCTGCCTCAGCCTCCTGAGTAGCTAGGACTACAGGCATGTGCCATGATGCCCAGCTAATTTTTCTATTATTTGTAAACATAGGGTCTCACTATGCTGCCCAGGCTGGTCTCAAAGTCCTGAGCTAAAGCAATCCTCCTGCCTCAGCCTTCCAGAGTGCTAGGATTATAGGTGTGAGCCACTGCGTCTGGCCCAGCCTCATTTTTTAAAAAGTATTTTTAATTAACACATAATTATAAATATTTACGGTGTGGTATTTTGACACCTGTATATAATGTGTAATGATCAAATCAGGGTAATTAGCATATCCCTCACCTCTAACATTTATCATTTCTTTGTGTTGGGAACATTCAAAATCCAGTCTTCTAGTTATTTAAAAACGTAAATTGTTAATCGTAGTCATTCTATAGTACTGTAGAACACTAGAACTTATTCCTGTCTTGCTGCACTTTTGTAACCACCCCTTCCCTATTTCCCCCACCTTCCTACTCCCAATTTCCAGTAACCATTAGTCTACTCTCTACTTCTATGAGATCAACTTTTTTAGCTTTCACATATGAGTGAGAACACGTGTTATTTAGCTTTCTGTGCCTGGCTTATTTCACATAACATAATATCCTCCAGGCTCATTCATGTTGCCATGAAAGACAGAATTTCATTCTTGTCAAAATAGTATTAAAATTGGCTAAGTAGTATTCCATTGTGTATATATATCACATTTTCATTATCCTTTCATCTGTTGACCAACACAGGTTGATTCCACGTCTTGGCTATTGTGAATAGTGCTACAAAAAATACGGATGTGGCTGGGCGTGGTGGCCTGTAATACTAGCACTCTGGGAGGCTGAGGTGGGTGGATCGCTCGAGGTCAGGAGTTTGAAACCAGCCTGAGCAAGAGCGAGATCCCGTCTCTACTATAAATTAAAAAAAAAGAAATTAATTGGCCAACTAATATATAGAGAAAAAAAATTAGCCGGGCATGGTGGCGCATGCCTGTAGTCCCAGCCACTCGGGAGGCTGAGGCAGCAGGATTGCTTGAGCCCAGGAGTTTGATGTTGCTGTGAGCTAGGCTGATGCCATAGCACTCACTCCAGCCTGGGAAACAAAGCAAGACTCTGTCTCAAAAAAAAAAAAAAAAATACGAATGTTAAAATATCCTTTCAACATGCTGAGTCCCTTTCCTTTGGATATTTACCCAGTAGTGGGGATTGCTGGATTCAGCCTCATTTTTGAGGAAAGGGTAGGAACTTCAGCAGATGACACTATGGCCAATTCCTGGCTCTGACTCTTTGGACTGGCCAGTCCAGCTGAGTAAGCACCAAGTTTCTCTATACCTTGATCTGACACCTCTCCCCACCCCAGCTTCATACCACCCCATGAACACACCAGGCTCTGGAAAATTCTTCCCCAAGGCTTTAATTGTATAATGCACTGCACATAGTAGGTGCTTCATAAGGACTCTTAAATTAGTAAATCCCCAAGATAATTCCCACAGAGGATCTGGCAGCCTGTTGGCAGATAAACTGCAGAATTTCTTAGAGAGTCCCTAGGAATCACAGACTTGAGAACTGGATCAAAAAATTGTTCTCCCCAAGAATGACCCCTGCTGAGCCCACCCCCCTTTCTATTTTGTAGAGGCAGAGAAACAAAGGCAGAAAGAATTGGAAATACAGTTAGCAGAAGAACAAAAACACCTGATGGAAATGGCTGAAGAGGAACGATTGGAGTACCTACGGCAGAAACAGGAAGCAGAAGAGAAGGCTTGGCTGGAGGCAGAGGAGAGGAGGCTTAAGGAAGAGGAAGCAGCAAGGCTGGCCCTGGAGGAAACCATGAAACAAGTCCAGGAACAAGCCAGGTAATGAACATTTGTATAACAGAACAATCCCATAGGGAGACTGTTCAAGGGCTTGACTGCCTGGTGCTAATGCTAGCCTTGTACTGCCTTTGCACAAGTAAAGATTTCCCCACCCTCAAAGACTGGTTGGTTTGGAAGACTGAAATGCAAAGAGAGATTCTTTTGTTGCAAATGCCACAGTATTCCTTCATGGCTTATAGAATTTGTATTTAAGCTAGACAGGAGTTTAGAGATCATCTATCTCAGTCCCTCTGGTTTACAGATGAGAAAAGCAAGTCCTAAAGAGGGAAAAGACCTTGATCACGGCCAAACAGTGAGTTAGGGGCAGTGCCAGAACCAGATCTAAAACCCCCTGATTCCAAACTCAATGCCTGCCTTAATATTTGTTGAGAGTTTAGCATGTGCCAACCACTGTTTAGACACTGGGAGTGCAGGAGTAAAAAAGACAGAGAAAGTCTCTTCTTTCATGGCATTTACATTCCAGGGGTGAGAGTAGAGAAACTCTAAAGAAAAATAAAGATTGTTTTTTAAAGCTAGCAATAAATGCTATGCAGAAAAATTTTTAAGATGTGATGGGATTGTAGGAGGCTTATTTTAGATTGGTTGGCCAGAGCAAGACCTCTCAGAAGAGGTGTCATATACAGTTAAGACGTGAATGACAAGGAGTTAGCTACATAAACATTTGGGAGAAAAATATTCCAGCAAGTAAACTGTAAATACAAAGGTCCAAAGAAAGAAATGAAACTGGCAGGTGGAAGAATTAAAGAGTCAGGGCCAGGCATGGTGGTTCACACCTGTAATCCTAGCACTCTGGAAGGCTGACACAGGAGGATCATTTGAGGCCAGGAATTCAAGATCAGCCTGAGCAACATATAGAGATCCCATCTCTACAAAAAGTTTTAAAAATTAGCTGTGCATGGTGGTACACACCTGTAGTCCCAGCTACCCAGGTGTCTGAGGAGAGAGGATCACTTGAGCCCAGCAGTTTGAGGTTGCAGTGAACTATGATGACACCACAGCACTCTAGCCCGAGTGAAGAATGAGACTCTGTCTCCAAAAAAAAAAAAAAAAGGCACAACCCAGAAAACCATGTGATTCCAACCTTAACTATAAACACTTTCCCCCCTTGAAATGTATTTTCCATAACTTAAGCTAAATCTAAGATGATAAATACTCTTTAGGGGACCACAAAGAGAAGGCAGCCAGAACAATTCTATTTCACAATTCTCTACTAACCTTCATTTGTTCTTCCCCTGGACCTCACTCAGCAGTTAAAGTGAGGAAATTTCACGAATCATAGCAGCAGGGTTAGGTTCCTTAGTATTGAGACCAAAAACAAGCTATTGGAATTCCAACTTTCCACAAAAAGAAAACTGACAGTCATCTGAGGGGAAGCTGGGCAATTTTTGTAAGGCTAGTCCCAGTAGCTGAAAGCAGAAAACCAATTAAGGAGGAGAGGGATAGAGCCACACTCCATCAGGGGTTAGAACTTGATGCCACTGGCTTATTCCATTTTCACGTATGTGACATTAGCCCAGGTACTTTAACTTCTCTGGCCTGTTTCCTCACCTCTTAAGGGAGTCCCTTCCAGCAACATGAGTTTAAGAACTGTGAATTAGGCTGGGCGTGGTGGCTCACACCTGTAATCCTAGTACTCTGGGAGGCCGAGGCAGGCGGATTGCTCGAGGTTAGGAGCTCGAAACCAGCCTGAGCAAGAGCGAAACCCCGTGTCTACTACAAATAGAAATAAATTAATTGGCCAACTAATATATATAGAAAAAAGTAGCCGGGCATGGTGGTGCATGCCCATAGTCCCAGCTTCTTGGGAGGCTGAGGCAGCAGGATTGCTTGAGCCCAGGAGTTTGAGGTTGCTGTGAGCTAGACTGACGCCACAGCACTCACTCTAGCCTGGGCAACAAAGTGAGACTGTCTCAAAAAAAAAACAAAACAAAAAAAACTGTGAATTATGCCTTTTCTGTTTCCATAGGAGGCTCATATATTCTAAAACTCATATGTAAAGTTACTAAATGAACAAGAGTTTGATCTTCACTAAAATCTAAGATCAATTTGTAATATTCAAATACAAAGTTCAGTTCTATTGCTTTATAAGACAGTTTCTAGGGTACTTAATCATTATTGGAATTGGGGGTGGGGTTGTCTCCTTAGGCAAAAAGCTGCTTTGGAGAAACATCTTCGATTCCATCAAGAGCTCCTTAAGGAAGCCAGTGGCCTGCAGTGGACACAGAGTATTTCCAGACCATGGGTTTACTCTTATTTCCAGTTCCTACAAATGCCCAGGCCTTAAGGCTAGAAGAAAACTAAAAAGTAAGTTGGGAGGTGGTAACAAAAAAAGAGAAACTTCCTTTTATAATTAAGTTCCATCGTAAACCCAATTAGTTCCAGTTATCTGTTTCTCCTGAATCCATGCCAAAGATATTCTTAAGCCTAGAACCTCCATTCCCACCACTTCTCCACGCCACACACTTTGTTCAATCCAATTAAACTTTTCACTCACCTAAATCTGTTGTTTTCTACAACCACATAAATCCAGAAGCTTTGGTGCGTAAAACTGTCTATAATTTCATAATTTCTGTCTGAAGCACTAACATGGTCTTAGGATAACCAAAATATTTCATTTTAGTCAATGTGCCTGAAAGAGTTGAAGGTAAATGGAAATTTTGTAATGCAAACAATTCTGAATTAGCTAAGAGGAGCTAATTTATCTATTCATGTATTAAGAATTTTACTTTAAACCTCTTTATAAAGCAAAACCACAATGATTTCATCCTAAAAATCTAAAATTTAATGTCTATTCAGAACAAGGTATATTTGTAATCACTTGATACTTGATACATGTTCATTTCAGCATAATGAGCCATTTCTGATGCTATTCTCCCATCCTAAAAGTATTGATTCTAGAACTGCACTGTCAAATAATGTTGCCCAGCTACATGTAGCTATTCTAAATTAGGCCAGGCTGTGGCTCATGCCTGTAATCCTAGCACTTTAGGAAACTAAGGTAGGAGGATCACTTGAGGCCAGGGGTTCAAGACCAGCCTGAGCAACATAGCATGACAGAATACAAAAGATGGAGACACTCATCTATACAAAAAATGAAGGCCCAGGAGTATGAAGTTGCAGTGAGCTATGATGATATCACTGCATTCCAGTCCTGGCAACAGAGCAAGACCCTGTCTCAAAATAATCATAATAATAATAAACTTAAGTTAAATTCCTCAGTCATAACAGCTACATTTCAAGTGCTCAATGGCCACATGTGGCTACTGGCTATTGCACAGGACAGCACAGATATAGAACATTTCGATCATGGCAGGAAGTCCTATTGGACAGCATTATCCTTGAACCCTGAAAACTAATAAAATCTTAAGTTTTTGCCCTTTAACTGTGCTTTGAAGAACCAACCACTCACAAAATTTCCCCAGTTAAAAAAATTAGACTGGGAGGGGGGATATGGGAAGGAGCAAAACCTTATCTAACAGGTACAATGAACACTATTCAGCTGATGGGCATAATTACATAGCCTTGACTCAAGCATTACAAAAGCTATCCATGTAACAAAAACATTTGTACCCCTTAAATTAAAAAAAATTTGTACCTCTGAAATTAAAAAAAAATACACTGACTCTATCAGAAAGGGTCTTGAAATTTATCTTTATCATCTTTTTAAATATCTAATAAAATATCCATTTTAATAAAGTATCTGTCATAGAATGATCGTTAAAGGGGATGAAAGAGCTTTAGCAAACAAGTTACATAAAAGGATGTTATTATTAATAATAAATCAAGCAGCATCTGAACCTGAATTTTCCCACAAATTTCCTTTGGCCCTACTCTATGCTTCACTGTCCACAATGGAAAAGCCTAATGTTTGCAAGAAACTCCCTCATACTTTTTATTAATGTGCATAAGGCACTTGCTTTCTACAGAAATTGTACCTCTACAACCGGAAATTGAACCTAATCTGGATTCTGTATTGCTGTTATTGGACTTGCTTAGACTTAATGCTTATTTTAACTCTTTGTTTTATGTAAAATTTAAATAGAAATGGCCAAAATACTAGCTAATGTCAGTCATAGTAAACTTAAATATGTCATTTAAACTTTTCCTCAAGCTTCTAGACCCTACTTGCTCATTCGTTCATTCAATCAATTCATTCAATAGTACTTTATCAGATGTGAAAAAAGCATCTCAAATAATTCAACCAAGAACAGAAGAATGAACACTCAAGGAAAACATCCTGGTGGGGGAAATTAATCATTACTGACTTTATTTTCTCCCTTCTTTTACAAATTTAGGATGCTGCAGTCAAGCACCAGATAGAGTGGCTACACTAAATGTTATTCAAGGTCCCTTCAGAAATCTGATGTTCTATTAAATTTTTGCTATGAAATGCCTATTTTATCAGTACTACTACACCAAATAAGCACATTTTTAAGTTAACCATAGCCGAGTGCAATGCATTTAGAAGAATCCAATAAACTAAAAACAAAAAAATCACTTCCCCATTAGCTAAGCTCCACCACCTAAATACTGAGAGCCTTCAGACATTTAGAGATGCAAACAAAATCAAGACACCAAACTATATATTCATGCATTCTGGATAGCTCAAATAGCCAATCTTGACAGAAATATGCAACCCATGAAGATTTTCTAAAAATGAGCCTAATTCCTTGTCACTATTTAATTAATATAATGATAAATGCCAGATGACAATCTAAAAGCTCTAACTTAAATAATACAAATAATTTTTCAGTTAGGATCAAATATAAGAATTATAAGATCAAGCCAATCTATTTCTCAACAGGTGACCTGAATAGGGTATGTAAGCTGTAATAGTTTATTAAATGTATTCAATATAGGTTTTATTTGGTCTTCTCAAGTAGTCAGACGACACTCTATTTGGATTAACATGAAACTGAATTATGTGTATGCACAGATACTCTGAATTCTGTGATTCATCAAAGAGTTAAAAGGAAAATTTAAGCCCCCTAACAGGAACAAACTAATCTGGTATTTTAACTTTACAAAAAGTTTAACTATTTCAGACATAAAGAAATAAAATGAAAATATAAACAAAATATATCAAAATTTAACTAAAGCAGAGAACATTTTTTAAACTGTTAAAGGGCGAACTGAAATTATTAATGAATCAATTAAGAATTTTTTGCATGCCCATTTATTCAACATGATTGGGTAACTGTATCATATATATGCACCATACAGGAATATCAAGTTTTTAAAAAACACAACACTGAGTATTTAAAAAGGTATTGTGGCCTTAATTAAATCCTTGATTCAGAAGGCACTTCAGTAACTTCAGTGCTTCAAAGTCATTAACATCATCACTGTACAGTAATGAAGAAAAAAAATTGTACCATGTGTAAACAATTTCCAGTATTCTGCAAGAAAACCTCACTTTAGGCATGTTCTTACTTCCTATACAATTAAAATAAAATGAGCATTAGTATGATTTTTACAAATATTGTTTATTTTAATGAAGCTGGTACAGACAGTGTCCATTCAAAACCCATATTCCCAGGCCAAAAAGTACAAATAAAATCAAAAAGAGCAGTGTTCTATTGTATACACTTCTGCATGAATAACTTTATTAATTGCTAATGAAAATTAGAACTTTTTCTGGGATCTTCTCACAAGATTTTTAAAAAATCTTTAAAATGCCTTCTCTTCAGTGAAGCCATCTTTGGAGTTATTCATTACTCTCACCTTTTCTGTCATCTTGACTCCAACTGGATATTCCTCTTCTTTTGGTCCAGACCCTCAAATTTGAAAAGTAGCTTCATGTTAAGGAAAGGTCATTTTTCCACAGTTCAGTTCTCTGAAAAACTTCCATCTCCCACTGAAAGTCACAGTCCAGGAGTGAAGCAATCACATGCTAGAACTTCAGGGCCAATTGTAAAGTCATTATGAACACCTGCATTGGTCGATCTTATTTATCATAAGCCTGAAAATGCACAGTCCTGAAAACAGTGGCCTCTCTGTGCACACATGTAATTTTTAAAAAGGAGTGGGCAATATGAAGGGGACTGAGGCTTGATCACCAAAAATCAGCACAATGAAAACAAACGATAATGAATAATGAGCACTAGAATTCAAATTACCAGATGTTTTAAAGAGATGGGGTGCCAGTTTTCAATTCCGTTTTGAACACCACATTACAAAAGAACTATTTTTAAAAATAAAAAAGGATTGAGGGAAAAGAAAAAAATTAAAAGAATATCTAAACTGTTGAATGACCCCCCGTTTGTTCCTGATAAACTTCAATCACATCTTCTTCCTCCATTCCCAGCTGTAACAGAAAAGAAAAATATGTTAGTGGAATATAAAAGCACTATTTTAACATTGGCTGCAATTGCGGCCACCAATTTAAAGTGTGAAACGATACAAGATCCATAGTTACACTCCTTTAACATTAAGAATCCTATCTTGGGCCGGGCGTGGTGGCTCACGCCTGTAATCCTAGCACTTTGGGAGGCCGAGGCGGGCGGATTGCTCAAGGTCAGGAGTTCAAAACCAGCCTGAGCGAGACCCCGTCTCTACCAAAAATAGAAATAAATTAATTGACCAACTAAAAATATATATATACAAAAAATTAGCCGGGCATGGTGGTGCATGCCTGTAGTCCCAGCTACTCGGGAGGCTGAGGCAGTAGGATCGCTGAGCCCTGGAGATTGAGGTTGCTGTGAGCCAGGCTGACGCCACGGCACTCACTCTAGCCTGGGCAACAAAGTGAGACTCTGTCTCAAAAAAAAAAAAAAAAAAAATAATAATAATAATAATATATTGAGTACAAATTATTTGCTAGGCCTTTACTGTACCAAGTACTTTATACACATAATCATAAATGTTTAGCACAACACTGGAAGGTAGGTATCACCTTATCTTCATTTTACAGCTAGGGAACCTAAACAGCTAGCCAAGAATTTAAGCCCAAACCTATTTCTAAGCCTGTACACTCTCAACTGCTATTCGATTCATTCCCTCCTAAATCTGTGAGCTAGCATAAAAGGTAAAACCAGAAATTGAATGAGCATTCTCATTAGCTTCCAACTATACAAGCAAATTATTTTTTAACAGATTATAAAATTTGGTAAAGAACAATAGCCAGCCAGATAAGCTACCGTATACCCGTGATGGGACAGGTAGCACTATAAATATTACAGAACATATTAGTATGTATTTTTCTAATTACTATTCAACAATGACATCTAAAAGGAAACAGACAGGTTGGGCACAGTGGTTCATACTATACTCCCACCACTTTTGGGAGGCTAAGGGTACAAGGACAACAGGGAGGCACTGCTTGAGACTAGAAATTTGAAACCAGCCTGGGCAACATAGTTTTTTTTTTTCCGATCTCTACAAAATATTTAAGAATTAGGATCTTTCTATTTGATAACACCGGGGCATTGCATAATGAAGCATGCACTTTTGACAGACATACTGAATCATTAAACATGTATGAACGATTTTTTGTTTTA